CTCTCTCTCTCTCTCTCTCTCTCTCTCTCTCTCTCTCTCTCTCTCTCTGATAGTTGACTCAACGTAAGCGTAAATTGTGGACCGTTGTATAAAAATTTTGTTTCTGTTCGGAACCGTTAAAACTGAAAAAAATGTATAAAAATGATTTATTTATACCCCGGGTGATCCGGGTCGATTTTCGCATGAAGAAGGCCTGTGAGAGACGAACCGAAACGTTGGTACTAATCACTCACCCGACTGACCAGTTTGCTTGCATTGTATATAAATAAATCATTTTTATACATTTTACAGTTTTCATTATTATCACTAAACACACGAACAACATACCCAGTGTTCTGATCCAACAGTATTGTGCAACTAACCTACTGGCCATGTTTTTCACGATTCATGAAATTATAAGCAACCCTTTGCCTTTACACGGTAGCTTTGCAACGAAGCGTTATGACATGTCTGCATGTAGTTTCTAATTATTATGTCTTTCAGCATAATGTCCATGTGAGGGAAAGAATACGATCGAAATATTAGCTGTGAGGTCCATGGACTTGTTCAGTGTCGCTTCGGCCTGTTCAAAGCGTTGACAAGCTGACATGAATCTTGCTCCTGTGACAGTCATTTCACGTTTTCTACTGTTTCTCGGGGTCCCACTGCTTCTTCGGTGTGCAAGTGGGCAGAATCAGTTTTGGCACATGTTACGCGGTACGGAGTTAGCGCGATGCGCAGACGATTCCGTAGTCGGTCCTGTACTTTAAATGATGCAAATCATCGATTCATGGATTAACCGAATCTAAGCACTAAGACTATCACAGTTGTCAACATCTCATGTATTTTGCATAATGTACGCATAATCAGTCTAATGAGCAGAGGTGTATATAGAAAGCTAAAATTCACTGTTAGTTCTGAGAAAACGTCGGAAAATTTTAGGAAAATACTCTTCGAAACACAGTGATCACAAATATATGAATACCGCCTCTAGGAAACATCACTGCCGTCGAAAAAAGCTCATTCCAATCTATAAAATTATGGTTAATAAGGTGCATCGGTGCATTGTCAACGTTCAAATACAATGTGACTATGGCCTATTTAAATGATACACTGTGAAATCGTGTTTTGGTAAAGTTCAGCGCTTATTAAAGTACCCCGGCATCTAATCTGATATCATGCTTTTAGTTTACCTACGAGCCATTCTGCAAATTTCTGATCTGAAAAGAAACATATAGCTATTATTTTTTGCCAAACAAGGAGCAGGAGTTGGCACTGAACCTCATCTGCATAAACTGCAATCAAATGTATTAATTTCCATTTCAAACAGATAAAAATAAATATTCTGGACAGTTGGAAGTTCATCGTTTATGATAAATCACGAAAGTTTACACTTCAAAATAAATAGTAAACGAAAATGCAAAACTGATAAAAAATAGTAGAAGAATCTGATTCAGGAAAGAGAAAATCTATGAAATGAGCTGCTGCAATGGGTTTGCGAATTAACTGTCACGTGCTTCATAACAGAATCATACTTTTACTTTTCCACTCTAGTAGCCGTCTCCCGTTTGTACGTCCTCGGTAAAAATTTTGGGAAAGAAACTTTCAAGCATAATGGCAGAGTACGAACATTCATTTTGTTTCCATATTATTTACTTGTTTCGATCGGTCATAATTGACAGTATGTTATTATGTACACCGATAGTTCAAATTCGATCGTACTTAGCCCCGATTTTGATTAGAATCTGGTGCCTCTCAACACGAGACGCATTATGCGTAATTCTGTTGCGCATGGAGAGCTTAAGTCAAGTAAAATAAATATTTACGAATTTTCATTTGATTATCTTCATGGGAAGCCTCCGGATCATCGCAACGTTCTGTCAACTGGGGTGAGTCCAATAGGTTTATAGCATGCAGTTAGACATCGAGCATCAGTCTGTGGTCTGATACTGCACAGATGATGTTCTTGACGACACGTCCAATGTTACTCATGTCACGAGTTGATACCCCACGGAGGCACGCACAACTAGTGTCGAACAATGATCAGGCAAACGCAGCGGACACGTGTGTCGAACACATCACCAGGGAGAACGATCGCGACGAAGCAAACAGCGTATCGTGCATAAATTACGGAGGGACGACCTCCATGGAGGAACGCGAGATATCGGAACGTCGGTAACGGTATGGCGATTGAAGTAGTGTTCGTTGTTAAGCGACCATACGTGTGGTCATTGAAAATTGTCACAAATGAAGAACACGAACAAATGCTGCAGTGGTGACAAGAACGGGCTCTTTTCAGCCATGCAGCCCTTCGGAATGCCTTTGCCGCAGCTCGGTCCACCAGCAACGCAGTGCATTGGTGTCAGCGAACCGACGCCTTCTTCAGCATGGCAGAGGTTACGAGGTAGCGCCCAACATGAGATCCGGCCTCGTTCGATTATGCCTGGATGAAGAATATTTGCTAACTATTGGTATGTCAAATACGAGAGCCTATTCGGCAGAGCTTGCAGGATCACCTGGGCTGCTAAACAATCAAGACCGCAGCCGTTCAGGGTTCTTCACTCACTCAGGCAGAGTCACAACGACTACAGAACTCCGCGACGCAGCAGCGGTTAAAAATTGCTGCTGCTTTTTCCATCGTTAGATGAGGTAATCCAGTGCGAATTCCGTCGGGATCAGTATGTCCATAATTTGCACTATTAGAGTACACCGGAAATTTTTAATAACGGCTTTTGATGTCGTTGTTTCAGGAGAAACAGGATCAGGAAGCAGCCGGGCTCCAAAGCGGAGACATTCTGCGCCATGCAGCAGCATATTCTGCATTGTCTCATACTGTCAACGGTCCGGAGTTTTCAGCCGTGACCAATACTTATTCTAGCCTCGTAGAACAGTCTGAATAGAGCATGACAGGTTCAATCTCAACTACTTGAAATGACTGCACCACCTGTTGCAGTTTGCATTTCGGGTCAACGGTTCCACTGTCACTAGTGGACTCATGAGGAACCTGAGAGGAAGACGGAGAGGAGGCCGGAATTGTCATTCAGCCTATTCAGGAATGCATTGTTACAACTGCGGCGGCCGCGGGCATTTCGCAAGTCAGTCAAAATTTATAACTCAAAGTATGAGTTACTCGGCGAATTGGAAAACCACGCTAACTCCTTCGTGTATAGGGCACGCGTAAAGGGGAATTTCGAGAAGGCCCATGCTGCGGAAAGTATAGAAATAAGACATCGTGCAAGATGATGATGCCATTCTGTTGGTATCTAATGTTAATGTAACGTTCGGCCGTGAGGAGAAACCGAAAAATAGGTGGGATATCAACTTTGTTTTTGATTGATACTGGAACGGCGGTAACATTTATATGACATTCAGCCCTTGAAGGAGCCGGAAAAGCTTACCAGCTCCTCAGAGATAGCTTTCCAGCGTCATTACAGGTGAAAACCAAGAATTGTGCGTATTGAGGACCGCCAAAGTGATAATAACCCTTCGGGAATGCTTAACAACGTAACAAGGCATGTTGGTTTTCCGTCACCTAGCACACCCTCGCCTCATTGGAGCAGACTTTCTCCGGCGGCATGCTTGTGTCATTAATAGACGAGAGAGGCTTGCCTTGACGGAAAATTCGTGCAGTTCACTTCAGAGATCGTTTAGATTAACGAAAGCCAAGAACCTCAAGGATTAGGCCTAACAAACGGCACTGTTATAGCACCATTTAACTAAGTTAGCATAACGGGGTTCTGTGTGGAAGGCTGCGGAGGGAACCATGTGAGGGCATTTTCGAGCCTCGAGGCGCGATTGGGTCAAAATATTGATTGTTGGCGCCGCGTTGGTTAAATGTTATTCGAGTTGGGAAAATTGCTTGAATTCAGAAGAGGCTCCAGTTCACCTCTACAAATATATTACCGTAGGACTGTACGTTCAGTCCAATTCCTCTACGAGTTCCAGCTGCCAATGCAGCTGAAACTCATGATAAGTGCTTCCAGCACTCATCGGCTGCGTGCTACCGGCGACTGATTGATAAGATGCTGTCCACTGAAAGGGAAATTGGTTCGGCGGCAAAAGAGATCTATCGAATTCACTTTGGAAATTGAAAGACGTCGTATCTACCCTAAATTACGACAATGGCAGAACACACACTAATTAAACATTCTATAGATATGGGAGAATCGCAGCCAATTGGGCTTTCACCTGGAAGGTACACCAGGAAGTGAAATAGTTGGTTGATGGAATGTTCAAGAATAAGGTGATCACTCAGGCTTATAGCCCCTGGTCTGCTCAAATTATTCTTGCACAGCAGAAGGACGGTTCCGCTGAGTTCTCTGTTAACTACCGCAGACTGAGTGATGCTACCAGGAAAGATGGGCAGACGTCTTCGCGGACAGACGACACAGGGATGCGTTGAGTGCAGCGAAATCGTTTCCAACGACTGATCAAGCCAGTGGTTAGTGGCAGGTAGAAACAGAGCCAAGGAATCAACCGAAAACAGCGTTTAGCTCACCGTTTGAATTCTATCCGTTTCAAGTGATGCCCTTTGGTTTGTTCGATGCCCGGCTACTTTCCAACGACTCGGAATCGGTTCTACATGGTATGCGATGGACGTCGTGTCTGGTGTATTTGGACCACGTAACTGTGTTTGGACGTACAGTAGGGGAACACATGGACACATTGAAAGACGTGCTTAGCCACTTAATAGACGTGGGGTTTAAAATGAAGAAAATCAAATGCCCGTCAATGCGTTGATTACATTGGACATGGCCGTATCAGGCCAAGATTTGGCCACAGACCCAAAGAAATGAGCCACTGTTCGTGACTGGAAAAGCATCAACTCTCAAATTGAATTTCGACAGTTCCTTCGGTTGGCTCGTAACTATCGACGATTTGTAAAATGCTTCACGAGCATAGCGGCACGGTTCCATCAATTGCTTAATAAAGATATAAGGTGGGTGTGGACCCCAGTGTGTGAGAGAGCATTCGACGAGTTCAAGAAACGACTCTCCAACGCACCATTTCCAAAATACCCTCAGTTAGACGTCGAGTTAACACTAGTGGGGAAAGCATTGGGGCAATGTTGGCTCAGGTTCAGGTCCAAGTCGGTAAAGGAAGGCGTTGTCGCATATGCCAGCCAATCGTTGACGAAGCCGTAGCGTTATTGCGCCACAAAAAGGGAAATGCTTGCGTTGGTGTGGGCCTTGCATGAATTTCGACCCTACCATTACAAACGTTGGTTAAAAGTTCGTACTCATCACAGCTGCCTCCGTTGGCTGAGGTACTTCCGTGAGTCAAAAGGGCAAATAGCTCACTGGTTGGAAAGGCTGGCCAAAATGGACTTCACTGTCGAACATAGACCAAGTCATGTGCCTAGTAATGATGATTCCGTAGATGCCTAGACAGTAGTACAGACAGTTCCTTGGCTTAAAAAATTATCAGTGTCAAGTTGCCCATGTAGCATGTGAAACTTGTGAAGCTTCAACCAAGATGAAGGCATAGACCAGGTCAAAGAGTAGTCCCAAACTTGGCCTCAGGGATGCCCTCCGAATGCTAGCGGTGGGCTAAACGTTCGGTGAAATCAAAAACTAGTGTTGATTATACTAGGAGGACCCTTATTTAAACAATTCGAAGAACTGCAGGCTTCAGGTCGTAGAGACCCCTATTCTGCGACAGGAAATATCATCTAGAATGCGTGACAGTTCCAGTGATGGAAGTTTTGAAGCATCAGTGGTTTCTGAGGTTTGTCGACTATTCGACCTTAATGGAACTCAGTCTACGTCATACCATCCACAGGGCAAATGCTTGGTATAAAGGTTCAACGGAATACTGTTGGATATTCTCGGAAAATCGCAGCGGAGAATCAGAAGCCTTGGGATAACGTCCTGGCGATGGCTACTCTAGGTTCATGAATCCGCCGGTATTACGCCATTCATGGATCCGTTTCTGGACATGGGAAAAATGTTCGTTCTCGCCTTGACAAGACCCCTGGTTTGATGCGGCAGTAGCTGATACGATGTCAATGTCGTCAGAAAGAGCGGTAT